TTTTGCATCTCTGAAGCCTCTGGGACCTTCCACACAGCCCTTTATCCCAGAATATCAAGGCAGAAAATGCCACATTATCTGAGTGTAGTTGGATCTTAGGGTCCTTCCGCACAGATAACCCAGTTCAAAGCAGATATTGTGGGATTTTCTGCCTTGATATTCTTGGATACAGGGCTGTGTGGAAGGCCTTATGTATCTCCTCCCGACTTGAACTCCTTCTCTGGTAGAATACAAAGAGCAGTGGTATGAAGCTCTGTGCTTCTTGGAAGGCCACAAACCCACTCTGCATATTAAGTTAAATGCAAGACTGACCACATAGAAATACTTACCTGACCTCCGCAAAGGTTGACATACTGACCTCTGAGGCTGCATACATTTCTCCACTCAGACAACTCCTACATGTGTTTTGGATCAGGATACAGATGAGAACTTGTAAAGTGTTGACCAGACAGATGGAGAGGATAAACCTGCCTGGCAGCTTTCGGCTTCCAATTCAGGTGCTCATTTGTTTTAATTTTTAATAATCAGAGAGTTCCTCCACTTTAGTACAATTAAGGAGTATTCATTTTCATGGAATCATAGAGTTGGAAAAGACCCCAAGGGCCACCCAGTCCAACCTCTGCCTTGCAGGAACACACAATCAAAGCATTCTCAACAGATAGCCATCCAGCCTCAGCTTAAAGACCTCCACCACACTCAATTGGAGTGCAGAAGACAGTGCTCTGTAGGCAGACTCTAGAGCAGGATATAGGTTACCTTAGGCATAGGCAAACTTGGGCCCTCCAGGTGTTTTGGACTTCAACTCCCACAATTCCTAACAGCCTACCAGCTGTTAGAAATTGTGGGAGTTGAATTCCAAAACACTTGGAGGGCCCAAGTTTGCCCATGCCTGGGTTACCTGCAGTGTGCCAGATGTTGCGAATCTTCAAGTTCCACCATCCCCAAACACTAGCCGTACTGAATGATGCAGATGGGAACTGAAGTCTAACAATGATTAGATGGTCATAGATTTCTTAATTAGATTTATATACTGGAATGCCAAGAAGCCAAGTGACAGCAAAATTCTGTTCAGAAGTTAATCCCATTCAGTTCACTGTGGCTTACTTACTGGAAGTGAGTATAAGATTTCAGTTGTGGGCATTTTTATGTCACAGATGCTAGTGGTTGGGTGCTATTTGTTGTCCTTAGGGCAGTGTTTTTCAACCTTCCTAATGCCATGACCCCTTACTACAGTTCCTCATGTTGTGGTGACCCCCAAACATAAAATGATTTTTGTTGCTACTTCATAACTGTAATTTTGCTACTGTTGTGAATTGTAATGTAAATATCTGAGATGCAGGATGTATTTTCATTCACTGGACCAACTTTGGCACAAATACTCGATATGCCCAAATTTGGATACTGCTGGGGTTGGGGAAAATAGACCTTGACATTTGGGAGTTGTAGTTCCTGGGATTTATAGTTCACCTACCATCAAAGGGCATTCTGAACTCCACCAACGATGGAACTGAACCAATCTTGGTACATAGAACTCCCATGACCAAGAGAAAATACTGGAAGGGTTTGGTGGGCACTGACCTTGAGTTTTGGAGTTGTAGGTTACCTACATCCAGAGAGCACTGTGGACTCATACAATGGTGGATCTGGATCAAACTTGGCACAAATACTCAATATGCCCAGATGAGAATCCTGGTGGAGTTTGGAGAAAATAGATCTTGAAAATTGGGAGTTGTAATTGCTGGGATTTATAGTTAACCTGCAATCAAAGAGCACTTTGAACCCAACCCACAATGGATCTGCACCAAACTTGGTACACTACCTACATGGTCAACAATAAATACTGGTGGGGTTGTGGGGGTCCTTTTTTTGAATTCTGGGAACTGTAGTTCACCAACACCAAAAAGGAAGAGAAGGACAGGCGGAGAGATCTACAGCTTTCTTTGCCAAAGGGGTTCCTAAGACCATCAGAAATATGTATTTTCTGATGGTCTTTGGTAACCCCTCTGAATCCCCCTCGAGACCCCCCTAGGGGTCCCGACCCCCAGGCTGAGAAACGCTGCCTTAGGGTCTAACTTGTGTTTGTATGTGCCTTCACATCACTTGTCAACTTATGACAATCCCATTAATTTCATAGGGTTTTCTTTGACAAGGAATTATCACACTAAAAAAAAACCCCACTTAAAATCTAGTTTCTGACACCTGCTGAATTCTGGGGTTTGCAGGTTAGTGAGGCTAACAGCTTTTGGACTTCAACTCCCACAAGACTCTGCCCTAAACTACAAACTCCAAAATTCTGCAGAAGGCAGAAACCGGATTTTAAGTGGATTTTTTCTCTAGTGTGATGAGGCTGATAGAGCTGGATTTGCCTGTTCCTTCCACTGAAAGATAGCCCAGAGCGCCCGGTATTCCTTGGCAATCTTCCTTCCAAGTATGGTATGAAATAGGGCCGATTCTGCCTGCTTCCAAGATCAGACAGGACCTTGTGCCTTTAGGGCGTTTAGACCCACATAAGGCCTTACACAGAAAATGTTAATTTCATAGTGTGTGTTTGTGAGAGAATAGTAAGTGGTGATTAGAATGCTTGGAGCAGTTAAACCTTCCATTTCCTCTCACAAAAATCTCCTATCTCCCATGCTGCAATTAAGTGCCAGAATAAAAGCTCCCACTTGATTCCTAAAATTAAAATCAGACTACTGTCCTTGCATTATTTCTATGGGAGGAAGCAGATAAGGATAAGCCCCTTTATAAATTAGATAATTCTGTAATGCCCTCTTCCTAGAATCTTTTGACCTCTTCAGCATTTGTTTTACCCAATGGTGCAATCCTGATAATAGTATTGACATAAACACAAAGCCTCACGTTTTCATAAATAAAGCACCTTGAAAAATACACACCCATCTATACGGAACCACTATATACATGTATAAAGGGGGAGGGAACCCTGTGAACTAATATTTTACTAAGAACTGATCCACTTATACATTTATTTACTGCTTTGATAGCAGAAATTGCCACATAGAAAAATTTGCAACTAAATATGCTCAGCTTTTGGATTTCTCCCTTCTTCCTTTTCACTCTACATAGACACCTTTAACTGTAAGATAATAATAAGAGTGCCAAATGTATTTAGAAGTATAAAATCCACCCAAATAAAACAGAATTACATGTCAAATATTATTAAGTAGCCTTACTATTTAACTGAAAGTTAAATACTGTATATACTCGAATAAAAGCCTAGTTTTTCAGTCCCCTTTTTAGGCTGAAAAAGTTCCTCGGCTTATACTCAAGTCAATGTTACTTATTATTTTACTATTATTTGCATTATTTTATTGCATTTATTATTTTACTTTATTATTATTATTATTATTATTACATTTACATTATTTTACTCTATTATTATTATTACTTTTATTATTTTGCTCTAGTTATTATTATTACATTTATTATTTTATTCTATTTATTTATTATTGTTACATTTATTATTTTATTCTATTTATTATTATTATTACATTTATTATTGTATTCTATTATTATATTTACTCTATTTATTATTGTTGTTCTTATGACATTTATTATTTTTCTCTATTTATTATTGTTATTATTACATTTATTATTTTAATCCATTTATTATTGTTTTTATTCCATCTATTATTTTACCCTATTATTATATTATTATATTATTATTTTACTCTCTTTATTATTATTGTTCCTATGATCATACATTTATTATTTTACTGTATTATTACTTATTACATTTCCATTTACTCCATTATTATTTTTTCATTACATTTATTATTTTACTCTCTCTATTATTATTGGAAGGATACGTAAGCACATTTACATTGAAGAAGGTTAGAATAATGGTTTAATCAGAGCTGGATAGCCTTATCTTAAAATACAGTTTTATGTAAATATTCAGAAACATTTAACCTACCAATGCCTCAATTAATTAATGTCCTTTTATTGATATTTATTTTTACTTTGAAATTTACCAGTAGCAGCTGCATTTTCCACCTTCGGCTTATACTCGAGTCAATATGTTTTCCCAGTTTTTTTTTGTGATAAAATTAGGTGTGTCAGCTTATACTCAAATATATATGGTAATTTTAAAAGCCCAAAAATCAGAACCATAGTGATGTTCTGTTTATGAAGTATTAGAAACATATATACCTTTTGGTTAAATTATCTTTCTTCTAATTCTGAAGTTTTTGTGCCATGTTGCTGCATACTTTGCTATGCATTTAATTGTTTTGTCTTACACAAGGAAGGATATATCTAGTTCCTATAACCAGTAAAACAATACTTTTAACAATTCTATTTTGGTTAATGAGAATGTGGAGGGGATGGGGAACAAACGAATTTTAGGTGACCTTTCAATAATAAAAAAGCATTAAATTCTGATAAAATATACGATGCTCTTCCTTCCTACTAGAAGAGACAGAATATATTCCCTGCTCTATTATCTAATCATATTGTGGCCAACTTAAGCTTTCCAAACACCAACAGAAATAACTACTTATGGACATCTTTCAACAAGAATTTGAAAAGCAATTGGAAAAGTGCTATTTTTTTCTTAAAGGAATTTGGGTAACACAAAGCATGCTTCCAAGTAGCATTCTGAAAGAAATAAACATCTCTATGCTTTAATAAATCCTCTGTTGTAGTAGTAACTAGTCTGACACTACGAACGGCTGTTCTTTCGTTAATTGCATCTAATTTAGGCATACTGGCTTGTTTAGTGTAAACAAAAGAACTATATAAAGCAGGCATGGGCAAACTTGGGCCCTCCAGGTGTTTTGGACTACAACTCCCACAATTCCTAACAGCCTCCCAGCTGTTAGGAATTGTGGGAGTTATAGTCCAAAACACCTGGAGGGCCCAAGTTTGCCCATGCCTGATAGAAAGGCTAGTTTTGCTTCATTTAAAACATCCCTACAGCATTAGCATGACTGCAATGCACATACTCAACGCCTATGAAAAATTCTAGAATGACAACAGAGCTTTGTACAAAACCTCAATTTATTTCAAAAGAAATTAAAAATATGTATCTTTATATATATTTATATATATAAACTTCTATTCCTCTATAAATATAGATGATCTTGCAATAGTGAACAGAGACAAATGCATACCAAATTCATAGAGCTATGCATTTTAGGGTACGGTAAAGTCATAGATAATATTTAGGACAGGTGCTTGTATATATATATATATAAAAGTTCGAAACAGTACAATCAGAAGAGCAGCAAACCAGTTTTGCCATACAAAGGATTAAATATTAAAAATGTGTTTGCCAGTTAAATTTGATGCATTTTGTATAAGCCTGTTAAGGAAATACAAGCCATAACAGTTTAGAGAGAGCGTAGACCAATCATACACAGGCTCTCTTAGCTTTACATATAAATTACTATACTGAAACACCAGGCTTATAGATTCTTGGGGGTTTGACATCCCATCCTTGAGCTGAAATTTCTTTCCCCCGGTGGCATAAATCACCATGCCTTTCAATCACCTATTAACAAGAAGGAATTAAAACCCACTCATTATAATGATACGGAGAAATGAATGTATAAGCAACAAATACTTTTGAAAATAAATTCAAAATAATCCAAGCTGCTGGAATCTCTTATGAGATTTGGGGTTTTTTTGCTCTTGGTCATGGAGAGGAGTTTGTTTACAAAATGGGTTCAGCGGGGCTATTCTTGGTCTTTCACTCCCACCAAATTCATTAAGCACGAAAACAAAAACAGCAAACCCTATCATTGGGTTGTTGTAGGTTTTTGGGGGCTATATGGCCATTTATATGGCTATATGGCCATATAGCCCGAAAAAAACCCTACATCAACCCAGTGATTCCGGCCATGAAAGCCTTCGACAATACAACCCTATCATTCCCCCCAAAAAGCAAACTTGTCAGAAATGGGCTGTCAAAATACAATCAAAATGCAAAACCTGTTTTTATGCCTAATGGAGCAATAATGACTTTATTTCCCAAACAGAAAGAAGTTGGGTTGTTGTAGGTTTTTCGGGCTATATGGCCATGTTCTAGAAGCATTCTCTCCTGACGTTTCGCCTGCATCTATGGCAAGCATCCTCAGAGGTTGTGAGGAAGTTGCCCCTTCTTGGTTTAGAAAGCACACTGCACTACTGAAATATGTGCATTACAGAAAGTTGGAGGAGAGAGAGAGTTACACTTCTTCTAAACTATCAGACATGTGCAGACGAGAGCCGCTGGTGAGAAAACCCGACTCTCAACCTTTCAATTTCATGCTTCTTAAAAATAGGTCACACCTTTAGGCAAGGCTCAGGAGTTTGGTGGTTGCGAGAGGAAGTTTCCTTAGGCTGGGCTAAGATTTGCAGTTGGGTAACACAACAACACACAGTCTCCTCAAACTCCTCCCATTCTGGATCTGGAACAGGTAAAACGGCTTCCTCCGTTTACACCTTCGGGTCACACTGAGTAAGGATTGGAGGAGTTGGGACTCTTCCACTCCCCGTCTGCTGTTGTTGACATGCAGAATAGATCAACCCAGCAGTGCCATCAAGCAGCCTTCCCCACAACTTTCCCATTAGTTTTCCTAACATCTTGCAAATCAACCAGTTTTGAATTGATCTTCCTCACTCCGGCAACCACCATACTACCTTGTAAGGTGGTGGGGAAAGGAAGAGCTATTATGATCGCTTCCCCCCCCCCCCATTTTTTGCACTAACAATGAAAAGAGAGCTGCTTTTCTTCCTTCTTTAAACAAAAACAACAGAGAAAAGTCTGCCAAGGGGTTAAAAAAGTTCTAAATAATTATACAAAAGTGAGTTTTTTCCCCCATTTAAATACAAACGTACTTACAAAATCTTACAGAGGCTATTTACAACAACCTCAAAGTCACATTCCCAACTTTACAGTAAATTCAGTCCAGCCGAAAGCGGGGAGAAAACAAAAGGTCTGTCTCGTTGCCAGCCGTTTTGTTATCAGGTTCCTGCGGTCTGGAGAGAAAAGTCCCCAGACCAAGCGGTTTTCACGGAACGACGGCTAGGATCTCTACTAGGAGACACTGGGCAGCCTCCTATCCCTAACTGGTTGTGTAGACCTCAGACTGTGGTTTCCCCTTGCTTGCTGTTGGTGAGTCTGGTATAGAACTTCCTCCAAGAGCTGAGTGTTTTCCCGGACCAGATCCAGAAGCCTGATGTGATGCCTACAATTAAGGTCATGAGATACTTGATCATGAAGACAGTGAAGTCTGGGCTCATGGGTGGATGGTGGTGGTTACTGGGGCAAGGGATGGCATAGCTCTTGCAGCTCTGAGCAAACCAACTCTTTTCCCACTGTTCCCTAAAAGCTTGCTCATAAAAATAGCAGGCTATGACAATGGTGGCAGGCACTGTGTAGAGGACGCTGAAGATCCCGATCCTCACCATCAGCTTCTCCAGCTTTTCGGTCTTGGTCCCGTCATGTTTCATGATGGTCCTGATCCGGAAGAGGGACACAAATCCAGCCAGGAGGAAAGAAGTGCCAATGAACAAGTAAACAAACAATGGTGCCAACACAAAGCCCCGCAAGGCGTCCACATTGTTGATGCCTACAAAGCAGACGCCACTTAGGACGTCTCCGTCCACCTGCCCCAGGGCCAAGATGGTGATGGTTTTGATGGCTGGCACAGCCCAGGCGGCCAGGTGGAAGTACTGCGAGTTTGCTTCAATGGCCTCGTGGCCCCACTTCATGCCAGCTGCCAGGAACCACGTCAGTGAGAGGATGACCCACCAGATGGAGCTGGCCATGCCAAAGAAGTAGAGCATCATGAAGAGGATGGTGCAGCCTTCTCGCTTGGTGCCCTGGGCCACCGTCCGCACGCCATCATCCGAGAAGCGCTCATTGCAAACCACCTTGTCCTCCAGCAAGAAGCCGGCCACGTAGGCCACGGCCACGGCAGCGTAGCACCCTGAGAGGAAAACAATGGGCCGCTCTGGGTAGCTGAAGCGCTTCATGTCCACCAAATAGGTGAGGACGGTGAAGAGAGTGGAGGCGCAGCACAGCACCGACCAGATGCCAATCCAGGTGCGAGAGAAGCGCAGCTCCTCAGGCCCAAAGTACATGAGCCCGTGGAGGCGTCCCGGCTCACAAGGGGCCCCGCAGTCCTTCTCACCCAGGAAGCGGTAGTTGAGGTAGGAGGGCACCTTGAGCACCCGCGGGCAGGTGAACTTGCCCACCCGCTCCCCTAGGTGGCCTCCTAGTCCTCCCCCTCCTCCTATACCTCCACCGGCTCGGAACTGGGGGTTACTGGTCCAGGCCTGGGGCCCCACCGAAGGGGTGGGGGTGCCCCTCTCGGAGGTGTTCTGCCCCACACAGAGCTCTCCCGCCCCGTGGACGGGGAACTTCTCGCAGCGGAGGGTGTCAGGCCACTGGAAGCCGAACTTGTTCATAAGGGCCTCACAGCCCTGCCGGGCCCGTTCGCAGAGGGACCTGCACGGGGGCAAGGCCTGCTCCAGGACGGTGCACACCGGGGCGTACATGGAGCAGAGGAAGAACTTGAGCTCGGCCGAGCACTGGACCTTGACCAGCGGGTAGAACTGGTGCACCTCCAGACCGGCGTCCTCCTGGTTGGTGTGGCCCAGCAGGTTGGGCATGATGGTCTGGTTGTAGGCGATGTCGGTGCACAAGGGGATGGTGATGGGCTGGCAGTAGCCGTGGTCCGGCACCGAGATGCCCCTCTCGCCGTTGTAGGGCTGCGGGTGGGCAGGAGGAGGAGGAGGGCCCTGAGCCTGGCCCCAAGCTGCCTCGGGGTGCAGCAGAAGCAGCAGGAACAGCAGGAGAGCCCCAAGGTCCAGGGAGGGGAGGATGCTGGCACTGGAGATGCTCCCCGCCTTGGCTGGCCAGGGCTTCCCCGCCCTGCAGCCAACTTGCCACTTCTCAGCCATACTTCTCCTCCTCCTGGCGGATCCTTCTGCCTCGTCCCTCCTCTCCTTCCAGCCCAAAGTTGAGACTCATGAAGGTCTACATGGGGCAGGGAAGGAGCCCAGCTCTCCACCAGGCGCTTCTTCCTTCCTTCCTCCGCAGCGCCTCTTCCTCGCTCTCTTCTGCAGCCAGGTAGAGCGAGGCTCCTGCTTCTCCTCCTCCTGATGCTGCTGGTTGTGTTACGGCCGCCTTTTCCTCCTCCTCCTCCTCTTCTTCTTCCTCCGCCACCGCGGCCGCCTGACCATTTGTGGCAATCCCTCAAGCCCGCTCTTCCTTCCCCTTCCAACCGGTTTCCAGGCGCCCCGCAGTCTGCCTTTTTCACCGGGAGGGAGGAGCCTTGAAACCGACGCGTCAGGGACCGTCGCCCAAGTCCAGCCCCGGATCCCGAATGCAAAAGCGAGGAGGAGAAAGAGGAGGAGGAGAAAGAGGAAAAGAAGGGATGGTGGCAGCACGAGGAGGAGGAGGAGGAGGAGGTCGCTTGAGACGGCGCTTTCGTGCCCATCCCTCCCTTCTCCACCTCATTCACACACACACACACACACGTCTCTCTCCCTTTCTTTTCTTGCTCTCTCCCTCCAATTTCTCCAGGACACAAGAAAGAAAAGGGGGGAGAAAGGGGAAAAAAGGAGAAGAAAGGAGGGAGAATAGCCCCATATGCTCATGGGCGCCTCATGAATGGACGCGGGCATTCATGAGGCGCCTTGAAAGCCTCCACTTCCCAGGAAAATCAAGAAGGGAGAGGCGAAGGGAGGCTAAAAAAAAGAAGAAGAAGAAGAAGAAGAAGAAGAGAGGCAGGGAGGGAGGGGGAAAAGTCCAGAACAGATGTTGTCCTAGGAGAAAGTTTAGGAGTTTTTGCAGCCAGAGAGAGGGAAAAAGAAAACGCTCGGCTCGCCAAAGGCTGAGTTTCCTGGAAGGGGAAGAAAGGCAAACCTTTCCCAATTTTACCCTTTCTTGGGCACCTTCTCTTCTTCCCACCTTAAAGTCCTAATATGGAAGAGGCATTTGTGTTTTCTTTAAAAAATATATAAGTGAAAACATAAGGCAAACATTCAATCAGAGTTCCTTCCCAGAAATGTCAAATTTCCAGCCCTGGAACTTGCAAAATGCCTCCTCAGTAGTCAGACTGGAAGAGCAAGAGGAATGGACTAAGGCTAGAACAGGCCTGGGCCAACTTGGGCCTTCCTCCAGGTGTTTTGGACTCCAACTCCCACCATTCCTAACAGCCTCAGGCCCTTTCCTTTTCCCCTTCAGCCGCTCAAGTGATTTTGTCATTAGGGAGTCATAGTTGCTGGGATTTATAGTTCACCTACAATCAAGGAGCATTCTGAACTCCACCAATGATGGAACTGAACCAAACTTGGCACACAGAACTCCCATGACCAACAGAAAATACAGGAAGGGTTTGATGGGCATTGGCCTTGAGTTTTGGAGTTGTAGTTCACCATTTTGTCATTTGGGAGTTGTAGTTGCTGGGATTTATAGTTCACCTACAATCAAAGAGCATTCTGATCTCCACCAATGATGGAATTGAACCAAACTTAGCACACAGAAAATACAAGAAGGGTTTGGTGGGCATTGACCTTGAGTTTTTGGAGTTGTAGTTCACCTACACCTATGGACTCAAACAATCATGGATCTGGACCAAACTTGGCACAAATACTCAATATGCATAAATGAGAACACTGGTGGGGGTTTGGGGAAAACAGACCCTGACATTTGGGAGTTCTGGTTACTGGGATTTATAGTTCACCTACAATCAAAGAGCATTCTGAATCCCACCATCAATAGAATTGGGCCAAACTTCCCACACAGAACTACCATGACTAACAGAAAATACTTGTTTTCTGATGGTCTTTTGCAACCCTTCTGATACACCTTTGCGACCCCCGCCCCCAGGGGTCCCAACGCCCAGGTTGAGAAACGCTGATTTTGAGAGTTCTTGAAGAGCTTGGATATACATTTTACAGCGTAGTATTAACATTGAGAACTGGGAAGATCTGGCTGGTACTTTAATATTCTAACAGGGCAAAAGAAGAATTATGCAGAAAGGAAGAAATATAAAGACAACGCTTTTTGGGTTCGCCTTCCATCTAGAAATATATGTTCTCGTTGTGAAAGATCGTGTGGATCTAGAATAGGTCTCTACAGTCACTTACAGTCCCACCACCAAGGCTCTATCTTTGGAAGACAATCATACTCTGCCACAAGCAATCACCCATGATGATGCTTAAGCAGCTGAGGGGGGAAAGGAAGGGGCCTGAGGCTGTTAGGAATGGTGGGAATTGGAGTCCAAAACACCTGGAGGAAGGCCCAAGTTGGCCCAGGCCTGTACTAGATTGTCTGAAAATCTCCCCCTATTTTTGTGTCCCTTTATGCATAGCAGACCACCTAGGACAGCAACATGTTTGTGAGTTTAAGGCAGGCTTCTGTCTGCCTTTTGCTTGGCCAATTTGTGTGTGTGCGTAAACATACTAGTGCAGCATGGGCAAACGTCTCTGTAACAGGAAAGGCTGTGATATTTATTTATTTACTTGCTACATTTATATCCAGCCCTTCTCACCCCAAAAAGGGGGACTCAAAGTGGCTCTACAAAAAGGCAGCAATTTGATGCCATGCACATACATACATACATAGTAAAGGTAAAGGTTTTCCCCTGACATTAAGTCCAGTCGTATTACACTCTGGGGGTTGGCGCTCATCTGCATTTCTAAGTCGAAGTGCCGGCATTGTCCATAGACACCTCCAAGGTTCATGTGGCCAGCATGACTGCATGGCACGCCATTACCTTCTCGCTGGAGTGATGCCTATTGATCTACTCACATTTGCATGTTTTCGAACTGCTAGGTTGGCAGAAGCTGGGGCTAACAGCGGGAGGTCACGCTGCTCCCTGGATTTAAACCTGCGACCTTTTAGTCAGCAAGATCAGCAGCTCAATGCTTTAACCCACTGCACCACCAGTGCCCCCACATACATACATACATAAAGTAAAAAAATAGACACATACATTAAAACCAAAAATGAGCAGTAATATTAAAACAATGAATTAAAAGCATGTCATCCAGAGTCACATCCAAGGCTGTTCCATCAGTCATTTCACAATTCCATATAATCATATTGCAATAACTTGCTAGCCAAAGGCTGAGTCTCATAACCAGGTTTTTACTTTCTTCCTGAAGGTCAGGAGGGAGCAGGCTGCTCTGATTTCGCTGGGGAGGGAGTTCCATAGCTGAAGGGCCACCACTGGGAAGGTTCTGTCTCTCATCCCCACCAATCACACCTGTGAAGGAAGCAGAACCTCCTACCCGCTCCCCCAGGTGACCCCCTAGTCCTCCCCCTCCTCCTATACTTTCACTGGCTCAGAACTGGGGATTACTGCTCCTACTGAGGGGATGGGGGTGCCCCTCTCAGATGTGTTCTGCCCCACACAGAGCTCTCCTGCCCCATGGACGGCTTTCGGGCCACTGGAAACAGAACTTGTTCATAAAGGTCCTCGCAGCCCTGCCCGGCCCGTTCACAGAGGACCTGCGAGGGGGCAAGGCCTGCTCCAGAACGATTCACATCGGGGCGTACATGGAACAGAGGAAGAACTTGAGCTCGGCCGTGCACTTGCTAGCTGAAACCTTAGTCCCATAACCAGGTTTTGACTTCCTTCTTGAAGCTCAGCAGGGAGTGGGTTGCTCTGATTTCGCTGGGGAGAGAGTTCCATAGCTGAGGGGCCACCACTGGGAAGACCCTGTCTCTTGTCCCCACCAATCACACCTGTGAAGGTGGCAGGACCGAGAGCAGGGCCTTTCCAGAAGATCTTCCCTCTGAGGTGGATCATAGAGGGAGATACATTCAGAAAGGTAAGCTGTGCTGGAACCGTTTAGGGTTTTGTAGGCTAAAGCCAGCACTTTGAATTGTGCTTGGAAGCAGACTGGTAGCCAGTGGAGCTAACGTAACAGAGGATTGTGTGCTCCATGTTCGCTGCTCCAGTTAGAAACCTGGCTGCCACCCAAATGAGGTGTGTTCCTCCTTGGACTCCAGTTCCCAGCATCCCTCATAATCTGTGTGGGCTAGGGCTGGTGGGGTGTGCAATCTAACAGAAACAATTTGCTACCCCAGTTTTAAAGGCCAAGAACCCATGTTCCTGTTTAAAGCAAGCAAGGAAGGAAAAAATGGCTGCTTCTTCTCAAAATAGTCATTCATTTATTATTTAATTTTTTCCCTGCTATCGTTCCACAGAGATTCACACTCATAAAAATGTCATTAAAATTATTTTAAATGCATATCATCAGTGGTAGAACAGATAATATGTAATGTATAGCCATAGCGATTTTAAAAAGCAGAGCCAGGAGCAATAGAACAGCTGAATACTAACTAAAAATGTCAATAGAATTCAAGCTGAGGAAGATGTTATCTGCAAACTGTCTTATAAACATGTCAAAATGACCTACCTAGCAGCCAACCTTTCCTGCGCAAATGCAATCTCACAAGGCCTTGAAAATTGCACTGCTGCTGCACAGACACAATGGATGACGGTGCACCGGCGTCACCGCGGTTGCTACTTCACTGTAGACCAGCACTGACCTATGGCCACTTTGGATCTATTTTCATTCCAATTTGTTTCTACCTGTGTCCTAAACATTGTCCCTTGCTACTTCATTATCAACATATTCTAGGTGGAATGGAAGAGTATAATCTAAACTCCAACCTTTCATTACTCAATTATCTCAGCCTTCCCAAGATTCACCTAAGGGTGGATTTTTTCAACATTTATGGAGATTGATTTTTTGGATCTCTTTAACATGATACAATGAATGTGTAATAAGACAATCTCTTCGAAAGCACTTTAATTTTATGGAACCCTGGAGTTTGTAGTTTGGTGAAGTTCTAGCAATCTCAGCAGAACATTCTCAATATGTAATGAAACTACAAATTGCTGGAATCCATAGGTAAACTGTTGTAACAGTGTAGTGTGAAAGGGTCAATTCACTTGGTGAAAGATGTAGGCTGGATCTACACTGCCAAATAATGCAGTTTGGAACTGCATCATATGGTCAGGGTAGAGGCATATTATAATGCAGTTTAATTGTATTGAACTGCATTATATGGTTCTATTCTGACCATATAATGCAGTTCCAAACTGCATTATTTGGCAATATAGATCCAGCCTTATAGTATTAGGTAAAGGTTTCCCCTTGACATTAAGTCTAGTTCTGTCCGACTCTGAGAGTGGTGCTCATCTCCATTTCTAAGCCAAAGAGCCGGCATTGTCCTTAGACACCTCCAAGGTCATGTGGCCAGCATGACTGCATGGGCATCATTACCTTCCCACTGAAACAGTACCTATTGATCTACTCACATTTGCATGTTTATGAACGGCTGGGCTGGCAGAAGCTGAGGCTAACAGTGAGAGCTCATCCGGC